CTATCTATCTATCTATCTATCTATCTATCTATCTATCTATCTATCTATCTATCTATCTATCTATCATCTGTCCAGTTTGATATGATTAAAGAAAAACATTTAAATTGGTATCATGAATCACCTATGTATGCAACAGGTTCTAAAAGAACTCCGAGGGAGAAGTGTAGGTATAAGTAACTGCAACTGCAAGGGGAAAGATATAAAATGGTGTTGTTCTTAATGTATATTGTTTAATCTAGTTAATGTTAGTTAATGCCATTGTTTATTGTTCAATCTTTCTCTATTTTTTTGTTCCAGTGCAATGTATGTTTTTATCCACTGCAATGTGTTATCAAAGAGTCATTGTAAGATTCTGATAACAGATGAATAGTAATATAGGTGCAATAAGACTTAAGCACATGTTGCATAACTTTCAATATGTTTAGTCTAGTCTTTATAGCTATTGTACATTAATATCTACAGTGAACATATTCAGATAATTATCAATAAATTACAAATAATGCTCAATGAATATAATTGTATTAGTTTGAGGGGAGTTGAGGATTGTGGAAGATAGAGGTGACTGTGGCTTTGAAGGGAGTATAATAATATAGGATATTGCAAGCTGACACAATTTTGTGCTTGTGAATATGCTAGCAATGTTCTTTAATGTGATTTTCCACTCTGAGGTTTGAATTTGTTGGTAGGTTGGTTGAACTTCTTAAGAGTGGACAGGAAATCAATTAGTTAAATCTCATATTTGGCATTTATCTTGATAAATGCATTGCAATTAAGAACTTTGTTAATCTACCTCTTATACCTGCGTGTTTGATTTTCAAGATAATTCTGTATATTAGAAAGTCGTAATCGTTTTAATAGATTGGCTGGAATCCTGGTAAAGTGATACATCAACTTGTTTTGTCTTGATCACAGGTGCTAATTTTACCTTTCTGATTCACTATCCATGCTTCATTGATAAGGATTTGAAAACATCCCAGAAGTGATGTAATATCATTCCAGTGTTTCTTGCAATTTTAATTGCATAGTGTTTTATACTATTGAAATTTCTCATTCATATTTGTGACACTTTTAGACATAAATTTTAAAGAAACATTCCCCTCTGTATGCCTATGTGACACTGCAAATTGATTCTGTAGTTGTGCTTTTAATATTTCTTGTTGCTCAACAGTGAGATGGGCAACATATAAATTAATGAACAGTCATTTTTAATAAGGAAACTCTTGGGAAATGATTAAGGTATATAAACTGATTTTATGTTTATACTGAATACAGAATCACCATTCCATCTGTTTACAGGCAGGAAACAAAGGACAACTTTAGAAGCTCTTATAAATCTTATAAATCTAACTATTCTTAAATGAAGCTTGATTCTTAGTAATGCATCACTAGCTTCATGCAGCTTTCATAGGAAGTGGTTTGCCACTGTCTTAATTGGTTCACATATGAGAGGAATTGGTTCTGGAATTACCCAATTATTTTAGCTATATTACACTCAGTTATTGAAGCTGTAAAAGTATTATCAGAATACTTTCCGAGATCCTAAATAAGAAAGTATAGCAAGGTGTGGTTTTTTGGGCCTGGAAACATTATAATTATATACAGGGCGGGGCATAACCTTTTCCTAGGGGGTCACAGCAACACTTGTAATAACAACACAAATAATTCATACACCATTCGAAAGCCCA